TATCTTTGCACACGTATGAAGAGTTCTTTCAAATCATTTTCATAATCATTTGAAGTGGTCATAATTCCAATATTTGGTTCCTATGTGAGATTAAGATAAATAAATAAGGAAGTTAAATCTTACATTTTTAAAAAATCACTTTCACATTTTAATTCTTACATCATATAACTTGTCCAATAAATTTCCAACTTCATCACACGTCTTTTTTGTTTTAAATGAAACCTTATCGCGAATGCTTTCATTTAGAGCATTCATATCAAATAGTTTGTTTGTTGGAGTATGCTGTCCAGAATGATCAATAATATAATACCATAACGGATTATATAATTGTTTTGATTGCGGGATAGTGTTTCGATATTCATCAATCTTGTGGCGTATTTCTGTAAAATTGATTTTACTTGGCATGCCTTGTAAAGGTGAATTTGAAATAATTGTTACTCTCTCAGACTCTAAGTCATTTAGTTCAACTGCACCATTTTCAACATCTTCACCGTCATCATATTGATCATTAGGGGAAGATTGATCATTATTAGCGGAAAAGGAGCTAGTTTCTTGATCCTAACAATTACAATAAATATAAGCAAGCAATGATATGAGAAATCAATTAATATCTTTTTACATACCTTAAATGCCTCTGGAGACCAGAAAATATTTATTTCCGGTGAATGTAATTCGACCTAAAAAAAGAAGTAATCCTTTTGAGGAAGATGCATAGACGATTCCTCCTCCGGAATCAGATAAAACATTTCCATAACAATATTCGTTGACAAGAATGGAACATTCATTTCTCATACTCGTACACTTGCGTAGAACAGTACAATACCATACACGTACGCTTGCGTAGAACAGTACAGTTGCTGTACACGTACGTTCGTACGTTTGCGTAGAACAGTATAATAGACAATGTAACATTTCCTGTACTCGTACACTTGACATGTAGAACAGTACAGGTTCAATGATATCCCTATAAGGACGTACCTCAAAATTATCCTCAATATGTTTAATTTGTTTAATGATATTTGCGTTATATCCACTTTTATCATTGTAGTGATGTTTTATACATTCAAAATCTTGACGGTATCG